TCTAGGGCAGAGGAACATGGTTTCAGGAAGGTCTAGACAGGCTAGGGTGGTGGCCCTTAAGCTGGAAAGAGATTGTGATGAGAGAAACCATGGGTCAAGAACAAACAGAACTTCGTGAAACTGCCAGGGAGAGGACAGCTGGGAGGGAGGGAGAGGGAGTCATCGGAACAGAGGCCGAGCCACGCGGGAAGGCCTCTGGAGAGCTGCTCTAGCGGCGAGGCTGGGAGGAGAGGAAGACTTCAGTCCAGAAAGAGGCTTCTAAAGAGGCTCCAAAGACACGAAGAAGCTCGGGGGAGATCAGAACTGTGGATAGAGACCCAGGAGTGGAGGAGAGCAGGCCAACAGGCAGAGAAAAGGACCAGCCCCAGACCCTGACCCAGAGGACCAGAAACCAAAGTGGGACTGGAGAAGCCCRGGGCAGAAGAGAAGCCCGACGAGGGTCTCATCACAGTGTGGCCGGGGGTTCGTGATAAAGCTGGGTCAGCAGCATGAATGAGCACAGGGAGGCCAAGGAGAGCAGTGGAGCTGATGAGGGAGTCGYYGGTGGCCCTCAAGGTTATTTCCATCGCACAGAGAAGAAAGGAATCAGCAGGTGGAACTGGCAGCAGCGTGGAGTGGATCCAGGGAAGGGTGCTCAGGACCCAGGGGCATGCACGATCAGTGTGGAGAAGAGGGGCTGATGGGGAGCAAAAGCTGGCTGGCAGGAAGAATGGGATGCAGGGCACAGTGACTGCTGCCAAGGCAGGCAGGGTCCCCCAGAGAGGAGGGAAGACAAGGCAGGAACAGAGATGGCATTCAGAGATGATGAGCAATAAAACGGMAGTGCCTGATGGCCTGTCAGTCCAGACTACTTATCCATCTCTTCCTGGACTAACCCAGGATTTTGCATCAGAGTTAATATGTACATACATGCTCTCGGGAAACCTRACTTTGTAGTCTGGGATCTCAAGAGTGGCTGCAGGACCATGTCTACCTGAACTTCTACACAGAGAGTCAAATACAACAGGGCCTCACCGTCTGCAGTGGGTCTGGTGGTTTGTTTTTACAAGCTCCAGGCCCTGTGTGTTCTGAATCTCTGCAAGTGGGTGTCAGTTCACATTTTTGTGTGTGTGACAAACTCTCAGAACCAGCAAGGCAACAGTCACAATCAGAACAGGACTGAGGAATAGCAGTGGGCCTACCTCCTGGAAAGGAACCTTACCTGGGGCAGAACTCACAGTACTGGGGCCGGAAGTTCCTCCTACTTAACCCAGGGCGAAGATGCCCAAGTCCAACCTCCAGCTCCCACTCCGAAGCACCAAAGTAACTAGTATGGGGTGCAACTTTGGCACTAGGATTTTTTAAAAGTCCTCTAGGTGATTTTAGCAAGTAGCAAAGTTTGGGATTCCCCGATTGCAGGCTGCAGGTGAATAATGGCCCCAGCTCCAGAAATTATATTCCCTGACCTCTCAAGAGAGTTGCAAAAAGGCACAGGGGCTGTGGGTCTGCTAATTAAACAAGGTCAGCTGAAGATCAGAGCACAAGGGCTGGGGTTGTGGCTCAGCGGTAGAGTGCTTGCCTCACATGCRTGAGGCACTGGGTTTGATCCTCAGCACCACATAAATAAATAAAATAAAGGTATTTGCCCATCTGCAACTAAAAAAAAGTCTTTAAAAAAAATCAGAGCACAAAATCATAGTCATCTCAGAGGATGTCAAATGTCATCCTATGTCTATTAAGACAGGGCCCCAGGCGGGGGAGGATCAGCCATCTTCCTTCTAGAAGCTGCTGAGTCCAGATCATCATGCTATAGGACGAGGGGCACAGATGCACTAGGTTGGTGGCTCCTAAACATTTGAGTTCCAAGAATTAGTAAAACACTCCTCTACCCCCAATGGGTGACCGTTATAGGGTTGCTATTTCATTATCTTCTGTTACCATCATTTCATAAAAGATCAGATATTTTAACCCCACAGATTTAGAAAACATAATTTCAGAATAATAGGACTTCAAACCGAATACATCCAACTTTTTGAAAAACTCATTTTAACCACCTTTTTCTCATTTTGGTGAAAACTTCTATAGTATCAGCACATAGGAACAACCACACTACATTAATTTTATTCCACTTATAGAATCACAGTAGATGAGAGGAYCCCTGCAGTCTCTCGGCTCTAGCCRTCTATGACCTTGCAACTGCACGAGCTTTAACAACTGCCAGCCCCGTGCCCTCTCCAAAGGGTTGAGCTCTTCTGACAGGCAAGTTTTAGGAACATCCTGGAAACACATTTTTTATTCATTAGTGTGTGTCAGTGGCTCCA